AAAACAAACTTAGTTTCTCTTTAATTCAATGATTTGTTAAACAAATGCAAGACTTCACTTCAACTTATTCTTTTTTATTTTGGTAGGCTTATTCTGCTCAAGAAGTTTTTAACAAATAATAATAAACTTCTAGATAAACTTTACTGCTGATGTGACTTATTTATTATATACTTTTTAATGAAATATTGAGAAATATTAATTAAATAAAATGCGTATTTTCATTTTCCATATTTTCACTGTAAAAATTTACTTTTCACTGCAGTGGAGCATATTTTCCATATTTTCACTGGTATCTTGCCGGACTTCTTTCTATAAAATTCTGCCGATACGCAAAATTTAAGGGAAATTCTTTCAAATTTTAACTTCAAAAAGAGCAATGTATATGATAAACAGAAAATTCAAGTTTTTTCTAAAAATACATGATTTATTTTCATCTTGTGGCATAGATATTACCATTTTTCACTCGTGGCTACCACCACTCATGAAATATTTATTTTCATACCACTTGATGAAAGTAAATCATGTATTTATAGAGAAACTTGAATATCCTCTATATATATTCCAACTTATTTTTAACAACAGAAACGAGTTTTATTCAAAATGTTTACTATTTATAGCTTACCTTAATCAACGTGAATCCCTGAAACACACTACATTCCATCAATATATTAACTGTGGTATTTCAATATTCAGTGAAAACATTGGATTACGGGCCATCATGAGCTGATGGGCAGGTGGACAAAGCGGCAACTATTTGCTCACAACAAAAACTTTTGCTACATATAGCATATTGCAGCAGATTTATCATTTTGCCCTTCAATGACATCCCTGCATTTTGGCTCGTATGAATGGCGTAGTGAGTTGGCACCTACCATTCAGCTCTACAAATGGGTGGTATTTTTGCCAATTCACCAATTCTCTAAGTGCTTTCATTTCATGGCTTTATCTTAGATGTATAATCAGTTGCCTTCTTACAATGACTACTAATTGGTAGCACAGCAACTGGGTCAAGGTTATCAAAGCTAAAAATAGATTTTCCTACCTTTTTTTAGCTCACCTGTCACAAAGTGACAGGGTGAGCTTTTGTGATCGCTTTTCGTCCGGCGTCCGTCCGTCCGTCCGTCGTCCGTCCGTAAACTTTTGCTTTAAATGACATCTCCTCATAAACCACTGAGCCAATTTCATCCAAACTTCACAGGAATGTTCCTTTGGTGGTCACCTTTAAAAATTGTTCAAAGAATTTAATTCCATGCAGAACTCTGGTTGCCATGGCAACCGAAAGAAAAATCTTTAAATATCTTCTTTTAAACAACCCTAAGAGCTAGAGCTTAGATATTTGGCATGAAACATCTTCTAATGAGTGTCTACCAAGTTTGTTCAAATAAAAGCCCTGGGGTCAAAATTGGCCCCGCCCCGGGGGGGTCATTGATTTTCCCTATATGCATATAGTAAAAACTTAAAAAATCTTCTTTTAAAGAACTGTAAGAGCTAGAGCTAAGATATTTGGCATGGAACATCTTCTAGTGAGTGTCTACCAAGTTTGTTCAAATAAAAGCCCTGGGGTCAAAATTGGCCCCGCCCCGGGGGGTCATTGATTTTTCCCTATATGCATATAGTAAAAACTTAAAAAATCTTCTTTTAAAGAACCGTAAGAGCTAGAGCTTAGATATTTGGCATAAAACATCTTCTAGTAAATGTCTACCAAGTTTGTTCAAATAAAAGCCCTGGGGTCAAAATTGGCCCCGCCCCAGGGGGTCATTGATTTTCCCTATATAAGCATATAGTAAAAACTTAAAAAATCTTCTTTTAAAGAACTGTAAGAGCTAGAGCTTAGATATTTGGCATGAAACATCTTCTAGTGAATGTCTACCAAGTTTGTTTAAATAAAAGCCCTGGGGTCAAAATTGGCCCCGCCCCAGGGGGTCATTGATTTTCCCTAATTGCATAAAGTAAAAACTTAAAAAATCTTCATTTAAAGAACCCAAAGAGCTAGAGCTAAGACATTTGGCATGAAACATCTTCTAGTGAATGTTTACCAAGTTTGTTCAAATAAAAGGCCTTGGGTCAAAATTGGCCCTGCCCCAGGGGGTCATTGATTTTCCCTATATATGCATATAGTAAAAACTCAAAAAATCTTCTTTTAAAGAACCGTAAGAGCTAGAGCTTAGATATTTGGCATGAAACATCTTCTAGTGAATGTCTACCAAGTTTGTTCAAATAAAAGCCCTGGGGTCAAAATTGGCCCCGCCCCAGGGGGTCATTGATTTTCCTTATATGCATAAAGTAAAAACTTAAAAAATCTTCTTTTAAAGAACCCAAAGAGCTAGAGCTAAGATATTTAGCATGAGACATGTTCTAATGGGTGTCTACCAAGTATGTTCAAATAAAAGCCCTGAGGTCAAAACTGGCCCCGCCCCAGGGGTCATTGATTTTCCTTATATACATAGCAAAAACTTAAAAATCTTCTTTGAAAAAACCCTAATAACTAGAGTTTAGATATTAAGCATGAAACATCTTTAAGTTAATATCTACAAAGTTTGTTCAAATAAAAGCCCAGGGGTCAAAACTGGCCCTGCCCGAGGGGTGTCATTGTTTTTAACTATATGTGTATAGTAAAAACTTAAAAAATCTTCTTTTAAAAAACCCAATGAGCTAGAACTTAGATGTTCTGCATGAAACATCTTCTTATGGGTGTCTACCAAGTCTGTTCAAATAAACAAATAAAAGCCCTTGGGTAAAAATTGGGCGGGGGTGGGGGGGCTATATACAGGTGAGTGACCTCAGGGCCATCATGGCCCTCTTGTTTCTTAAAGCTGTTAGCTTTGTCGGAATGACAATGGAAATTATGTATTGGTGATACCAAAATTTTATGTATACAGTAAACTCCGCTTATAACGAACTCATTGGGACATTCAAAATATGTTCCTTATATCCGGAGTTCTTTGTAAGCATATAACGAATTAGTTCCTTGTATCAGGAGTTTTTATAGCGAACATATTTACATATAACGAACTGATTGTTAAACATCGTCCGCCATTTTAAAGAGCATTTGATTAAGAATAATTTATCATTTATTTCTTTTTTAGACACAATACCCGAGAGCGTACATTTTGGAATTTGAAAATCCTTTGCTATTTAAATTTTAGTTTTACTCCCTTTCTCAATTTTTCATAAAACCTCTTATTTTGTTTCTTAACTCACAGTACTGTACTGTGCTTCTCGTTTTCTTTCAATGAATGAGAATAAACAAGATTTTCCATTTTTCTTCCTTTTATATTGAATATCTTCTATTATATTTTAAGGGTGACTTATATAGATTTCTTTTCATTTCAATAAAGCATACTTTGTAGTTTTCTATGGATTATGTTGGCAAGCATGCGTGATTATGTTGAAAACCGATAATTATTTTACTCGAGCAAACTATTAAAGAAAAGAAATTATAGAATAAAAGGAATTACCGTTTTATCTTTGTGACAAGAACTCAAGCAAAAATATCCTAAATAGAAAACTATTACATACTTCTTTACAAATTCATTTTCATAGATATATTTAATTACATACAACAATAAACGGTACATTCCGCGAGTTTTATTCCGTGCCAATGAAAACGAAAGTTGAAAATGCGGGATATATTTACGAATAGACGATATTTAGAGTTCGTTATAAAAGTGTAATTTTATGCACTTTTAACTAAATTGGGACTAAGAAATGAGTTCCTTATAAGCGATAATTCCTTATAACCGTGTTCGCTATAACCGTATATTTTTATATTAAATAAAGAAGGGCAAAATTCGGGCCAAAATAAATTGTTCCTTATAACCGGAAGTTCGCTATAACCGTGTTCGCTATAAGTGAAGTTTACTGTATTAGTTTATTTTAATTTTGAGTTTGTTTTCAATGAAAGAACGAAAATATTTGTTATATTTCAATTGATGATTATATTTATAAGTGTTTTGACTGTTGTTAATTTATTCTGAAAATTCTATATATGATGGGAACTGAAAATAAAAGAGAAAAAGTCTTATCGTTGATGCTTTCTTTCTTTTAATAGACTCCAATAAAAAAATTTTTTAAAGATCCTTATAAAATTTGATGAAAGTCAGTAGCAATAACTTGTGTGCAAACTTTATAATCAAATATTCTCCATAGTAAGGCAAAGTGTTACGTCAAAAATTCAGGTGTCTGGCACAGGTCAAGGTCACACTTAGGGGACAAAGGTCAAGTAACAAAGTATGGGGTGGTGAGTCCTACTCATTACCCAGCTATGATATAACTCAGCACAAATGTCCTCCATGATAAAATTGAGTTGTCGAGGTAACAAGAAGTTAAATAAAAATATTAAAATTTTTTTTGGCTTATGCTTTGAAGTATTATGCTCAATGGAATATTTGTTGAGCTCTCTCAAAACAGGTGTTTGTGTGTGGGTGCATCTGAACTTGTCCATGCCATAACTTCTTTGTGCATGGAGGAATTTTCAAATAACATCGGGTTTTTTTTGCACAAATGTTCATCTTGAGACTATGTGTCATGCACATCAACCAGCTCACTGGGCCAAAAGTCAAGGTCACCTAAGATGATGCAATGTCATGATTTTGCCTTGGGTATAAAGATGACGTGTTGCACACATCTCATCTATGTTTACATCTTTCTCCTTCATCTGAAGCCTTTAGGTTAAAGTTTGAATTAAGACTAGCAGGCTCAAAATTCTGCCTGTGGGCATGTCTTGTTTTCTGTAACTGGGTATATTTTTGTTATTTATAAATGGCTTAACTTCATAATTAGACAAGAGTATCAATATCAACCCAAAAAAATGATAGTAATTCTTCAGACAATGGCAAGTAATGCTAGTTTAAACAGATGTGCTGGTGGTAATGAGAAATTACAAAACACAATGACATAAAATAAAAGTCTCACTTTTACAATTTTACTAGACTAGAGAGGATTCATGTATTTTTAATGTGGGTTAAACTATAAACTAAAACTTCATTTTTTGTTTTGTAAAAAAAATTTAATTCAAATTCTGTTTAAATAACACTAGTGCTAAATCAATGCCAATCAATCTGTTGTATCACAGGATAATATATAGATAATGTATAACACTACATCAAATCATCTTACAGAATATAAAACTTACGAGACGGCCCCCAACAATGAAAAGAGCTCTGCTTTCTCTCAAGCCCGCCTTCAGTTGTGTGTGGCAAAACACTTTTCTTTTGATGACAAAATAATTACGAGTAACAACTATTGATCCATCTGTCAATGCAACTCACCCTTCAGGCTTCTGCATACAAAATTGGACAGTTTTAGCTTGTCTGTATCAAAGAAAAAGTCAAGCTATTGTGACCCCTGTTTTGCTTTCATGTAAAAACTTTAATGTAGCCCATTATTCAAAGTCATTATTTTAAAGTTATCAACATGAGTACTTGCTTATGACAAAGTGCAGTTGGCATACAAGGGGCATACTTCTGAACGTTATTTTTAAGAGTTATGACCCTTTATAACTTAGAATTTTTGTCAAAATTGGTTGCCATTAAATGACAAGTGTTAACACTGCATGAGGTGCTCTTGTTATTGCATAGAAGTTGATACAAAATCATCTAAACACAGGATAATATCAACATGAGTTAAATAAACAAAACAATGCACAAAATAATAAATTATTGAAGGGCTAAAAGGTCAAAAACAAAAACAATCTGATTTGTGTTAAATTTTCAACCTTTCCTAATTTCCCCAGTTCATTCTCAGGCAAACAAAAACAAAATAAAATTAGGCAAAACAAAGTGCCTGAATTGTGGAAATAAGAAATATTAATTTTGAAAATAAGACATATTAATTTTGAAAGTAAGACAAATTAATTTTGAAAATAACACAAATGATTTGTGGAAACAAGACACCTAAAAAATGGCATATTACCCACACACTGGTCTTTAGTTGGACAAAATGTACAAGATACTGGTAAGTGGACTTATGTTTTACTGCTTCAAAAAACATTCACATGCAATAAATTAACATTATACATTTCTGAGAAGAATAAATTATACTTAAACATATGTCAATATGGTCTACATGTGTAAGTGGCAAAAAATAGGTCAATGTAAAACTGACTTATTATTTCCTATCAACCTTTAGCCTTCAAAGAAAGTTTTTTCACTTTAATATATTTATTAAGATCATTATCTAAACTCCTGAACTTTGTGTACTTGGTGAACTCGTTCTTATTAATGTAACCATTGCGGAAATCTGTGGCTCTAAGGGTTTTCTTTAGTACAATATTCTGAAACCCGATGAGTCCACGCTAAAAAGAAACAAAGAATGACATAAAATAGTAAACACGTATAGAGTATTGATAAGAGAAAAATAAAAAACAAGAGCTGTTGAAAGAACATCTTGCTCCACTATTCTCAGTGCTTGATAGTAAGAATTTGCATGTTCAAAAAGGGCCTTAATAAATTCTGACAAAATCTAAGTTATTGGCCTTAGGCAGCGACCTCCTATTATGCTCTCAAAAAAGTGTGTGAAGTTTCTGCCCATTCTCTTCAGTAGTTTTCAAGACACCAACCTCCACACAAAAACTTAAACCGAAGTGTGACAACAATGTCAGGGTGCGAACAATAGCTCTCCCTATTGTTTAAGTAGTCAAGCTAATGCAGGACAAAATGATAACATGACACACTTTTGATTATATGCTCCCCTGAAATTTTTATCCAAGAAGCACGCTGAAGGATGCTTTAATCTTTTGTGAAATTGACTTTAAACTTTTGGTAAATAAAATTAAATTAATTTTAAATTCTAACCTTGCACTTGACAACAATACATTTCATTGGTTTATGATACCCAACAGTGCCTGGTTCAGCATCCATGATGTCTCCTTTGACACCTTTAACATCCTTACTCCTTATATCTGAAATACAAGACATTCTTAGGATAAAAATACCACTATCATATGGAAAAAACACACAACCCACCAAAATAACTGTAATAACCATCTGTGCAAGATCATTTTGAGATCTCAACATGGAAGACATGTTAAAAAAAAACAAAAATGTTGAATAACTAGATAAACCTACATGTGAAACTCAAGATGCACAACTTCACATGCTGGTCAACACTCCTGTAAAGTTTGTTGTCTCTCGCTCAAGCACTTTTAGAGGTACATGCAACGCAACAAGAGAATGAACGGACGGATGCACAGACAGCTGCGGGTAAATCTAAATGCCCCTTGTTACGTACATATGTATGTACAGAGTTATTGCGCCAATATTAGCGTCACGTTTAGCGTGACGCGCCTTTTTATATGTTATTGTATTGACGTCATGATATGAGTTGACTTCCCGTAATTGATAATAAAACAACGTTATTGAAGAACCAGTGCAATCTTTTGATTATTTAGTGTTTACACAACATTTTGGTCCCGCGAACTGGATAACACTATGGCAACAAAATTACGTTCTATACAGAAGGGTCACAAAGGCGCAGTTACACGACTCCTGAACAAATTCGAGATAATTCAGCGGGAGGCAGCCGATTACGAGGAACTTGTGACGATCATTGATTCCCTCAAACAGAAACAGCAGACGATCACGGAGATTCACGAAAAGATCCTTGATTCTTTTCAAGACGAAGAAGAACAAATAGAAACAGAAATTCTTGAGCATGATGAGTATATATACATGTTAAAGACCAAGATACAGAAGAAACATGATTTTAGGAAAGTATCAATTTCAAATTTTAACTACAATTCCCCAGCTCTAAACCCTAATGCTCAGCCATTTCAAGCGTCCATATCAAGCGAAACATCCGAGATTTGTGCGCCAGGTATCAGCGAGAATACTTCCCAGATACATTTCTTACCGTCCTTATCTCAAAGCTCAGTATATCACAAATTACCAAAGTTAGATTTGCCGAAGTTCGCCGGAAATGTCCTTGATTGGTGTTCATTCTTGGATTCTTACGAGTCTGCTATACACACAAATCTTTCACTTAGCGGAGTACAGAAATTCAATTGCTTAAAAATGAAGCTTTGCAAACAATAGCTTGATTTGCCTTAACGAATGTCAATTATGAACAGGCTATTTCGTTTTTACATGAGAGATATGGTCAAAAAGACAGAATTATACAAACTTACATGAAAGCATTACTTGAAGTTCCAGCACCCATGTACACTGTACAAAGTGTTAGAAAATTCTATGATACAACAGAGACATATATCAGAGCATTAGCTTCACTGAATCAGAATGAGACTACATACGGTTCACTACTTACACCTGTTATCCTTCAAAAACTACCGCCAGAGGTCAGAACAAACATTACACGTGCGCACGGGATAAAGTCGTGGTCTTTGCGTGAATTGATGCACTGTATACTGAATGAAATCAATATTTTAGACGCTGGAAATTTGCTGAATAGCCCTCAAGACTTCATTCCTACAGCAACTTTTTTAACAAAATCTGATTCCAGTAAGCAGGAAAGAAAAATAGCATTACGTACAGTAAAGAAAATTATGTTGACAATTTACCGCAGAAAGATGACCACAACATTATATCACGAAACGAGCATATAAGTAGACCCAGAACTATGCCCCACCATCGTGTGAGAAAAGAGTTGGAGAAAATATGTGTTATAAATGACCGCACACTTATCTATACATTCATGTACACAGATCTCAAAGACCCATCTCATCTACCATACGGACGAAGGATTACCTCCCCTATTTATCCAGACAACAGAGATCCCATAACAAAGGAATTAACCCAAGAATCGGCCGGTAAATTGTTCAGATTTAAGACTGCAACGCTTGATCATTTTTGGTCAAGATGGAAACACGAATACCTCACATCGTTGCTAGAGTTTCACAGAAAATCTGGTAACCATGGTGACAATATCAATGTTGGTGACGTGGTTCAAATACATGATGAATATTTACCAAGGAATCGCTGGTCATTAGGAATTATAGAAGATGTAGTAACTGGAGGTGATGGACATATTTGAGCAGCCCGTGTTACATCCAGACGAGGAATTACTACACGACCTATTGCCAAGCTGTACCCACTAGAACATAAGTAACATTGTACACGTGATTCACATGCATTTGCCGGCACCAATTTTTTGCGCATGCCTTTAAAACATAAAGTGACATTTGCAATGCGTTATATATAATCAGTGAAACTTTACCGGTTAATTGCAATAAGAGTATTATAACAATGATTTGAAACTAATTGCAATAGTGGTTTACTATCAGAGACAGTTTATGAATTTAATTGATCGGTCGAACTTGTAATTTAATTCACTAGATATATCTGATGTCAAAGTTTCTAAGTTACAATACTTCATTTCATTGAATTCAGTTTGTACAATTAATATGATCTTGAACAAGCAGTGTGGCCCCCGGAGTGTTACGTACATATGTATGTACTGAGTTAATTGCGCCAATATTAGCGTCACGTTTAGCGTGACGCGCCTTTTTATATGTTATTGTATTGACGTCATTATATGAGTTGACTTCCGGTAATCGATAATAAAACAACGTTATTGAAGAACCAGTGCAATCTTTTGATTATTTAGTGTTTACACAACACCCCTCATAATTGCAATCCTAGCACCTGCATACCAGACAGCAGCCATATCCCAATAGGACCCCAACCACCCACTCATTACTATCACATGAGATGTAACTTACCTTTAAATAAACTTGGGTCAACTACATTCAACAGTTTCACTATTTGGCCATCATATTCTGTTTTTAAAGGAATCTGTAAATCAATAAAAGGATATACAATATTTTTTTCTATAAATCTATGTTAAAAAGGGAAATAACTCCAAGCATTTAGCTTTCAGAATAATGTCCCTTGTCCATCAACTGTGTCATGTCATGATAATGAAGTATTTCAAGTTTCATGTTGTTACCTTTCATAGTTTTAATATTTTTCTAGTTAATAAGCAATTTTGGCAAAAATTCTGAGTTAAAAAGTGACGAAACTCCAAAAATATAGCTTTCACATACACTACACCTTTTTATAATATGCAAGTTTTTTCAAGTTTCATGCTCATACCATTTAAGATCTTTGAATAATAAGCCACATTAAAGTTTTTGCACCATGAGACAACAAATCTGCTGCCACAGAAATCATGATGGCTTGACCTTTTCTTTGTAACAGACAAGCTAAAAATCACAAATGATTATTAATTTTGAAGATATAGTGATATTTTCATGTGAAAATGGAATATACCAACCGATTCTGCTAGGGCTCTGTATTGACAGTCGATCTGTTCTGCTGTATTGTTCTCCCAGTCTATATTAGCATTCTTGTACTTTATCTTATGTGCTGAAATATTTAAAATATATTTGTGTCAAACCTTTTGAAAATAATATTTTGTTTGTTTTTTATTCAATATCCTCTATTTACCTTATATCCTTTGTTTGATCTTCATCCAGCTTTTTTGTCTTATATCAAACAAATCAGAATCATGTTTTTTACCTAATATTATTCATCTAATCTGCATTGAGGTTTTTTCTTTCTTGTATCATTCAACAAATTAGAATCATGAAGCTCTTTTATTTAATATCATTTAACCAATTAGAATCAAGCATTTATATTTTATACCATTTAACCAATCAGCATCAAGCTTTTTTTATGAAATAACCTCCACCAAACCAGAATCAAGCACTTTTATCTTATATCATTTAACCAATCAGAAGCAACCTCTTTTATGTAGAAATATCATTCAACCAATCAAATCAAAGCTTTCTTACCATATGTTATACCAGCTTCATCCTGTTCATGCTCAAATCTTTCTAAAGTTGGTAAATCTTTTAAACACTCCAACATCTGAAAGCAGAGATAGAATTATATACATGTATGTGTATACTCATACATTATAGGTTTATAAACTACAGTACCAGTATTTGATTTTAATATTTTTCCAGACAACCTTTCAACCAAATGGACAATTTTGTGATACCACCCAATGCACTTGTATGTGCCTATCAAATATAAAAGACATCAGTCAAAAAATAAAAGCCTTAAGTACTCAAAGTGTAAAATCCTTTTTTTCAACAGTCTAAGGTATCTATCTACGTGCAAAACATAGAAAATATTGGTCTATAAATGAACTTTCTTATTTTTGAGGAGACGGGGGGGGGGGGGGGGGGGGGGGGGGGGGGGGGGGGGGGGGGGGGGGGGGGGGGGGGGGGGGGGGGGGCATTATTCACTTACCATACTTGCTCCAAAATTTCCTAAAACTTCTGTCAATTCATGAGTCGTGCACCTCTGAGGGACTTTACACATTCTTTGTAGTAGAATAGGTCCAATATCAAAACTGTAAATAGAATTCATTTATCTTCAATTTAAAGTACAGAAACTAATACGAGAGGAACACACGACAACGTCCGAACAAGTTCAAAATTTGTATAAAAGTGACATTATGCTCATATTTTCATAGTCAAGTTGAGCTGAATTGACTTATTTTTCAAAAGATTGACTGTCAAAATGGTGTTTGACCAACAGTTGATATTGGAAAATGTTTAGAATAAAATTATAAATCTGCCTTAAATTTAAAAAGACTGCCCCACTCTTTTTATAAACTAAGCGTTATAGGTAAATCCTAACGGATCTTTACAGAAATTTCATTTGGATCTGTGTGTTATCTATTGTTTATGCGAACTTAATTATTACATTGAAAGGATTTATGGTAAAAAGAAAACTTATTTTAAACTTCTGGCTGCAAATAAGATTTTTTAAGATTTTTATTTTTACAGAGACATAAATCATCTTCGGGACACTTCTGGGACAGAAACCTAATTTCTGGGACAGTCCCTGACGTTATAGCATGTATGTAATAACCTACTAGTTTCGGGTATGCACTACCCAGTTTATATATGAAACATGTCTCTAAGGTATATGATAAACCAGCGTGAACATTATTCAAATCATTTCTTAATATACAATCTTGTTCTAAAAATAGATTTAAGTCTGTCTTTATAATATCTATATATTTATCTTTTAAGTTTTTGATGAGATATAAGATACCATTCATACCACACATATTATACAAATATTCGTACCAGCAAAAATGACCGTGCCATGTACTTCCCAATATCATGACATTAAAGTGACATTATGCTCATTTTTTCATTGTCAAGTTGAGCTGAATTGACTTTATATTTCAAAAGATTGACTGCTTTAATGGCAATTGACAAACAGTTGATATTGGAAAATGTGCTAAGCATAAATACAAATCTGCCTAAAATATATAAAAACTGCTATGAACTGCATATAAACTGTATATTTACTGTTTGGGACGTATATCCATGATCGAGACACCAGTGACTGCATCATTATTCAGAATTGTATGGGCCACCGGAGAGGCCCCTCGCCACCTTGGTAACAAACTTGGATGCATGTTTAGAATTCCACTGAAATACAATTGAAAAATAATTCATTTACATTTAATGCAAAATAAAATTCTATTCAAGACATATGAGTTATTTTGAAGAGTAATAATAGAAAATTTATAATAATGTCCTTGCGGAAACCTTACTGTACATATACCTGTCAAATTATACTTGTAATGGTCAAATTCTTGAAACAGACTCAAGGGAGAATCAAATCAGCTAAAAGCTTTTTTCAAAATCAAGGTTTTCCCTCTTAGTCCTCAAGCCGCAGCTGAACTCACCCATGATTAGACCAAGATTAGATTTCCATGCCGCCTGATCATTATGAGTCTACACTGTTCACTTTTAAGTGCTTATTTTGAATTATTTAAAATTAAGTGCTTATTTTGAAATTTTCAATAAAAATGATCAAAGATTATGTCAAAGTTTGAAATGTAAATTAGTTCTAAACTTATTTTGACCTTCAGGATATCATCCACCACAATACATGACTTGAGGTCAAACAAAACCCAAGGTAACCTACTTTTTATAATAAAGAATATAAGAAATGGACATAGTTACTATGGAAACATGTGTATGACATCATCGGGGATAAGATGACCAAATGATGCAAGAACTCCAACATCGTACTTCCCCGTCTCCACAGCAAGCGGCCAATCATGTATCTTCAAGTTTTCTTTCTCCGCAAAAGCAGCAACTTCACGCTGAAATAAAGTTTTATTACTTTCAAACTCACCAGGGCATCCAAAGAATACATATTTAGGGGCAGTTTTCATCTAAACTTTACAGATATGTGCCCGAATTTCAGTTTTCCAGTTAAAGCTGCATAACCCCAAGATGAGCCAAAACATTTCAAGAAAATAAAACTTGAGAAATGTGTTTTATGATTTTAAGAAAAGTAAAAGAACTCAAAATTCAAGTTAGAACTTACATGTTATATGTGCTAATTTATTAATTTTGCAGTATCTACCACATTTCTAAAAGGTTTCTACTTTAAATTTGAATCAATCCACTTTATGGACAGGAAATTTCAATATCAAAATGTTAACATTGGGGAGCAATCATAAATGGTCAAGATTATTGGTAACACTGTTTCCAATCTTTGGCTAAATATTTTAGTGAATACATGTTATCCCAATCATGTAAAAAACACTAAATGTCTAAGTAAAGTAACCCTACAGGCAATATAATTTGCTAGACAGATTTTTATTAAACAATTATTACAATATAGATGTGAAAAATGTCTAAAGAGCTGTTATTTGTGTCACTGATTTGCCAAGGATTGAAACAGTCTATCCAAAGTTTAAGAGATTTCAATACAAAATATAAAAAATTCACATACAAGCAGTATAGAGCTATGTCAGACAGCAAGGGATAAACAGGCTAACCTGACTCTCTACTTGTAGCAAAACTTAAGGGCTGCAAAAAGCTGCATTATCAGTTATCTGTTATAATATTATATAAATATTATAAAATATGTGGTTTCTCTTAGTCCTCCTCTGCCTTCAGTTCGATTATTATAGAAAAATAATTTTGACAGACTTATAATCAGCCAAATATTTTACAAAAGAATTTCCCTATGAGTACAACTTACATAATCTTTTCCTGTGACTACCTCCAGAGACTCTACCAAAGTTCCAGAATCAGTCCTGAAGTATATACATTTGTATGTATAGTAATAGATGAATATTTGTTGGGAAATTTAATGACTAATATATTGTATATAAAAGCAAAACTATATTTTGTTCTCAGCATCTCACAGTAACAGTCACATATCTGTTAATAATTTTGCTATGATAAAAGATTTGTCACCCAAACATATTTTTTTACATAAAATTTATATAGCTGACTACTTAAAGGCCTGTTAAGCCCCAGAAATGTTTCTAATTTTATTTCTCAAAACCATTTTTTTATTCTTGGTGTCCTGCTAATCATTTCAAAAACTTACTACATGACCAATTACTAATTATTGTTTCAATATTACAAGTAAAATGTACAGAAAAAATACAGTCAAAACTGTGTTAAAGACCACCTCTCAATAAAGATCACCCTGTACATAAAGACAACTCTTTGACAACCCTCCTTCAATTAAAAAGAACAAAATAACCTCCAAATAAAGACCACTTGTCGATAAAGACCATGTATATATTCCTTGGGTGACCTTTGTTCTTAAGTTTATAGTAGTAAACCAGAATAAAGAATGTACAAAAACAAAATTATTCAGTCATATCTTCTATTTCAAGGGTTAAAATCAGCGTTCAGCAACATTTCCAAATTAGTCATGACCTATGACCTAAGATTTTGGACACATCAGTAGAACCACCAACATCTTGTAAGTTACCTCACTGACTGCTTCATGTGTGAAAATTCCACTTGCTTAGCAGAGGCACAGTGCATCATGACCGTAGAAAAGATTCCATGATCAAATACAATGACATTAAGTGACCTGCACTGACAGGGTATCAAACCTGGGTCGCCCGATTCACAGTCAAACACTCTACCTATTGAGCTAACTGGACAGTTTTTTGTATCTAAATGTAAAGTGACTCTTAGGAAAGTAATTCAATCACATAACTGACCTTTACCAATAACCACTTCATCTTGGCTGCAGACATTTTCTTGTACGCATATTTTACAAATACAAACCTCAGTGCCGTTCACTTACATATTCAAGTGTAATTCCTTCAGGGTGTATAAAGCCATGTCATCTGTGCCAAAAAACATAATTCTCCACGGTGGTTGTTCCCGTACACTTTTTCCTTGAGTTTGCTGATTACTAAACCTGGCTGATGTATGGAATAGGCTCTTTAATCTCAGACATTGTCCTTTCTTTGCATTCAGAAGTGTTTTATTTGTTAAAATTATTCCTGCGTGATTTCTTCTACATTTATGCCCACATGAGCTTCTAGAAGTAAATGAAAATTTGCCCAGCTGAAATTCTGTCATCTTTTTAAACACAGTCAATAAATATTTTGATGTCACTGTACTTGAATCAGAAAATGATGACCTTAATCTATTGCAGTTTTTTCTAGGTAGGCCGGTAATATTTTCATAATCTTCATGCTGGCATAATACTGTATGCACCTTACATGTAACATTGTCATTTTCAAATTTGGTTCTTGATTTGATATTATCACTATGCTTCAATATTGAGCAATTTAGTATTCTTCTCTTTAAACTATGGTCTCCAAAATTAGCTTGCCTATCTTCAAGGTGTGTGTCTATATGGGCCATATCCCATTTTCCTAAACTCCACACTGGCTTACAAATATTACTGTGAAAGAGTCTGTTTAGTTCTGATTTTGATGAACAAAGAATCACCGATGATTGCTGTGAATTTATCCTTACTTTACAGCAGTTGTGTAGCAACCGGTATTTACATAAATTGTAAAAAGGCACTGAAGTACTATGCACACTTGAAAACTTTGGCAACATTTTACATTATCGCTGAAAGCAACATTTTACATTAAAAGGAAGCTACTTTAATAAAAAATATATGGTGAATTGGTCTATGGAAATTCAAATATTCAAAAAACTGGCAAATAAGCAAACATGTGCCAAACAGACAGCTAGACTTTTCTCACAGCCTGAAACAAAAGTTTTGACATTTTATCTGACGACACTGCCACCCTTGTTTAGTGCTTTATATAACTTTATGGGAATAAAGACAGGGACCATGAAAAGTGGTAAATTTATATCATAATTGTAATGTAACACTTTTTTCAAACTACAATGTCAAAGACATGTCCCTCTTTGTCAACAAAATGGATATCAAATATAAACAATCTTAAGTTGACGAGATTCTTTTTAGGAACAGCCATATTTTCAAAGATTTTTCTTAAAATAAGGGGTATTTTCACAAATTAAAGAAATCTCCCTATTTTTGATGTCAGAACTTCCTTCTTTGCAAATTTATTGCAAATTCTAAAATCTCACTCTTTTTGAAGTAAAATCTCTCACTTGATCATCAAAAATGTATGGGGGGGGGGGTCAGAACCTCTGATAGTGATATGCCCTGTATTAAAAAAGTTATTAAACACTCTATCAAAAGTTCAGTCACCCCAATGTGATACACACCCTGTAAACAGCTCTTTCATAATGATGAATATTATAAAATGTGTCATGATGAAAATATATAATCACTGACACAGACGCTTGGGGGTCAAATACTGCACTGAATTAAGTGACAAAATAGGTCGCGAAATCTAATAACAATTATGAAAAAATAAAATTTCCTTTGATAACCACGAATCTATCTGGGGTTAAAATTCAAGAACAAACATTTTTTGTATAATTATTAGCATCCAAACTAACATTACGTTTTGTCATCTGGTAATAGTGGAAATATCTGTATATATTTCAGTATTTGTCCGTCTGGGACCAATCGCAACTTCTCGGCTCTTTCCGTCATCCTTCGTATCAATCAAAACTCGTGCTTTACGAAGCATCGATAGAAATGGTCGATGGCATGATTCTCTTTTAAGACTATTTGTCTGATTGCGAATACGTTTTGCCCATTAGTTTGGAGGGTTTTTTTGACAGCAATATCAGCCCATGCATGGTCTTTCAAATCACGGATTTATATTACGTAATATAAATCCGTGTTCAAATAAATTTCTAACCCAAGCGAAATGTCTGCACGGAATAGTCGTTTTAAGGATCGGCGATTTGTTCTTTCTCTTAAATTGACAAAAAAGTGAAATTTTCCTGAAACTGTGGTCTATACGAGTATCTATTCACGTGTACATATAAAGGGAAGTAACCGCTTCAAAAAAGCGGACTACTTTCGGCATTTGCAATTAACAGCATTTGACGACCCAAACAAATAAAAAATCAAGATTGTCCAAACGGAACAGGTATGAAATACATGTTTTTGAATCAAAATAATACGATAATTACTCATTGTCACCAATCGAATGTACTACCGCAAAGGCACTCAGTAAGACAACGAACAAAATAGAGAGAGCACAACAGCTAGACATGGAGTGAAAAAAAAGCCTAAACATGACAAAGCCCCCCCCCCCCCTTTTTTTTTAAAGCGAGTAATAAAGATAAAACCGTGGTAAAAGGTTGTCAAGGAAACATCTTTTGCTTATAAATATTATCTTCGTTGAATCCTGTTGCATTTTAATATTTGAGATGGCAATTGTCTGTAATTGACCTGTGAGAATATAAACAATTTGCAATATTCAATATGGAATAGGCATAAAAATCAATACTTTTACATCTACAAAACATTTTAAACTGTGGATATAAACAATTTAATCAGTATTAATTTATTCTTATTTGATATTAATCTTCTTAAATACATGTAAGTGCATTTCATACCGGAGTTTCAAAGATATTGCAATATCAGGTTTCTTTAAATATTATGAGACAAAAATAAACCGGACTGGGGCTGTCGATTGAAGAATTTTCAAACTATCACTTATTGTTATATATCACAATGAATCCATATCTAATTTGATAACGCAAATAGCTTGTACGTAACAGCGATTTAAAAAAAACACGGCAACGCACACCGACGCAGTATTTTGCGCTTTAGCTCTTTATTTTTACGCTATACGTCACAGTATTTTTGCAATGACCTATATATTTGGCTCCTCCTCCTGACAAGTCATTTAATAGGTTAAGATCAAAATCTAGGGAATATTACGGAATCCCTACGGAATATGCCTATTTGGATATTAAATCTGCATTCATCCTTTGCAGGAACATTAATTGCTTGAATTAATGAATAAATAAACATTTGCTATTTTAAAGAATTGGGTTGCACAATTTTCATTTTCAACGTCAAACAATAATTTCTAAAAATTTTATGGATATCGTTCAAATCGCAGTAGTTTAAACCTATGACTTTCTGTTATTAGGTTCTTACATTATAACATGTGACGTTAAGTTTAAGTATTTACATATTAAGTGATTGAAATCGATGCCGAAAACTAAACCATCCGAATTCCTCAGCATAATTTGCACAAATTCATGGTCTTTAGTGTAAGCATCAGTTTTGAGTTTTCTTACTAAATGCAAAAGAAAAAAAAAGAAGAAGAAAATTAGCAATAAAAATAATTATAATATTAATAATAAGAAGAATAACGATGATGTTGCAATGGTATGGATGCGATTGCTCAACCGTTTTGTCGTCTCAATGTTAATGACTTTAGGTTAAGGTTTTGAATTTTACATTAAAGGTGATCATTGGTAATTAACGGCATGCCTAATGGGGAGAATAGCATTTCTTGAGAAATTTTTCTTTTCAGAGTTCGTACCAAATGGAATTGTTGCATGTATATGTCTGTTAGGAAATAAAAATAATATTATAATTAATACTGCTGAGAAATAAAAAAATTTCAAATAAACAAAATATATGGATCCATTAAGAATAAATGAACGTGTGATGAAATTTGCTTTCATCTTATATTGTTTATCTTAGAAATAAACACTAAAATAAATAAAAATTAGAATACTTTTGCTGATTCAATAAGTCGTTTTTAAAGGACAAGGCTATTCCGGGAATAGCCATCATTGAGTGATGTGTTAATTTTCGGTTCTGTTAAGTTTTAATATAGCCACCCACAGTCTTACATATAACTGTAATAAATGGCTACTTGCTTTTGCAACAATACGCACGTCACTAACGTTGTTGCATTGCCTCAATTACCTAATGTAAACTATATAGCCTTGCTTATAATACGAAGCAATTCATTGTGTGACAGAAGCATATCGAGGTTGAAGAGTACTAGTTGGTTCTAGAGATTCAACGTTAACTTACGTAGAAAACTAACAAATTACTTACGAAATATTCAGTTTGAAGAAAATCTCTATTTTTCGTCGCGCGTTACTGACAATATCCAAATTTCCATCTTATAACAACTTACTAAAAAGTACATGTTTGGCTATAATGATATATATTTATTAATTACTATAGGCAAGATGTCCGTTTTTTAACCGCACACAAATGATCTAGAATGTTTTGATAGCTTAAACGACAAAATAGAAAAAAGAAACGTATTGATAATATACAACTGTATCTTTAATAGATATCCCAATACAAACGATAAAGCATTTTCATGTCATTTAATTTAAAGCAGCATGTAAATTTTCATGAAAATTTTGATTTTTTTTTAAAAAAGTAATATATTATCGAATGAACAAAGAAAATAATTTTCACGTTGGATGCAGCACTTTCAACCCATGTAAATCCGCAAAATAAAAGAGGTCAAATATGCAAAAATAACCCCCATTGCGTAAGTAACGCAGTAGAAATATGGTGGAAAATACTGCAAAACATATTTTATTAATTTTATAAGCATATGTTTTTAATAATCTTAAATCCAACTCATTTAGAATAGGTTTTGTATCCAGTTTGAGTAAACAATAGTAGTAAAGTAAAGGGTAGATAGCCGTCAAATATTCGTTCAACTCGTATGATTCTTGTTTATAGTAGTCACTCTATCTGACTTAATAATGAAATGATTTCCCTTTTTTGTACAGGGTCCTATTATGGTTCCCATCCAAGAAGTTCGCAGGGGACCAGTCTATAAAAATGAAAGGTTAGAATGATTTCCCTTTGTTTTCTTCAGGGGAGATTACTCTGTCTGACTTATTGGTAGGTAGGAGTGACTTTCCTTTGTTTTCTTCAGGGGAGGTTACTCTTTTTGACTAAAAAATGAAAGGTTAGAGTGATTTCCTTTTTTGTACAGGGGAGGTTACTCTGTCTGACTTAAAAATGAAAAGTTAGAGTGATTTCCTTTTGTTTTCAGGGGAGGTTACTCTATCGGGATTAATAATTTAAGGTAAGAGTGATTTCCCTTTGTTTTCTTAAGGGGAGGTTACTCTGTCTAACTTAAAAATTAAAAAAGTCAGAGTGATTTCCCTTTTTTCAGGGGAGGTTACTCTATCTGACTAAAAAATGAAAAGCTAGATTGATTTCCCTTTGTTTTCAGGGGAGGTTACTCTTTCGGGATTAATAATTTAAGGTGAGAGTGATTTCCCTTTGTTTTCTTAAGGGGAGGTTACTCTATCTGACTTAAAAATTAAAAAAGTCAGAGTGATTTCCCTTTTTTCAGGGGAGGTTACTCTATCTGACTAAAAAATGAAAAGCTAGAGTGATTTCCCTTTGTTTTCAGGGGAGGTTACTCTATCGGGATAAATTATTTAAGGTTAGAGTGATTTCCCTTTTTTCGACAGGGGAGGTTACACTGGCTGACTTAAAAAAGAAATGTTAGAGTGATTTCCCTTTGTTTTCAGGGGAGGTTACTCCATCGGGATTAATAATTTAAGGTAAGAGTGATTTCCCTTTGTTTTCAGGGGAGGTAACTCTATTGGGATTAATAATTTAAGGTATAGAGTGATTTCCCTTTTTTCGACAGGGGAGGTTACTCTGTCTGACTTAAAAATGAAAGGTTAGAGTGATTTCCCTTTGTTTTCAGGGGAGGTTACTCTATCGGGATTAATAATTTAAGGTAAGAGTGATTTCCCTTTGTTTTTTCAGGGGAGGTTACTCTATCTGACTAAAAAATGAAAATTTAGAGTGATTTCCCTTTGTTTTCAGGGGAGGTTACTCTATCGGGATTAATAATTTAAGGTAAGAGTGATTTCCCTTTGTTTTCAGGGGAGGTTACTCTATCTGACTAAAAATGAAAAGTTAGAGTGATTTCCCTTTGTTTTCAGGGGAGGTTACTCTATCTGGATTAATTTTTTAAGGTTAGAGTGATTTCCCTTTTTTCGACAGGGGAGGTTTACTCTGTCTGGCT